AACACCTTCAAGAGAAATTGGATGCTTGTCTTGCTGGGATCCTAGAGCCCCAGCTGACTTCCTGACCTTTGGGCAGGGGGCTGGACTGGATGATCTTCCGAGGTCCTTTCCAGCCCTAATGTCTATGAAATCTATGAAATCAAAGCACTTGGCTAACTATCCACAAACAATAAGATTCAGTCCATCACCTCCAACACACCAGCCACTTCTGCAGGCAGAATGCCATTGGACAGTGCCCAGCAACATGGCACAACTACCTGAGAACAGAAAGCAAATCAAGAGAAGTCAGGTTGGCAGAATTATTGTCCTGGCATTTAACCAGGATACCAGGTGTATTTTCCCTGCTGTTGGGAAAATGCCCTGGGATCCTTGAATGACTACAATATCCCATAAGAGTGCAACAAGGATTAATTAGTTAATGCTTGAAGAACACTCTGAAAACATAAAGCCTGAGAGACAGGATATCCGGAAGGTTTCTGTCGCAGGAGGAAGTTCTCATGATGAGGGGCTCTAACAGAATTCCAGCGGTATTACTCAGGTGAGCACTATGGGGATAGATGAACATGAGGAGAAAGGCTCTTTTGTCTTCTCCTTGTATTTTCTCAGTCCAGTGAAACAAGAAGCAAGGAGAAGAGTAAGGAAAGCCAAAGGTTAGGAGGGTCTGCTCTCTTTTCCTCTGACCCATCTCCCAACAATCACCCTTCAGATGCCCGCTTTCCATTTCGGGCTGCCTTAGTTTCATAGTTTCTAGGGTCAGAAGGGACCCGAGTAGATCATCTATATTTCCACTTGTGATAGGTGCCCTTCAGATGATACATAAAAGCCTGGCTTATGAATAAAATTGAGCTGGGCCACCACCCATGTGACCCCATGGCCCAGCTGGCAGAGCTGCTTGAGAGAAGGAGGAGATGAAGTACTTGCCCCTAGAAGCCCTGTGTTGAACCTCATCCTATTAGGTCCTGTCTCTTGTGACTCCTACAGTCCTCATTGCATCCACCACTTAGATGGAGCTTTCAATCAGGAATGACTGAGACCTGCTCGCATCACCCTAACAAGTAGCCAGTGCAACTGAAAACCTCTCCAACAGAGAGCCAGGTCCACACACACTCATTTACCCACACATGGGCCAATACAAAGGGAACAATTGACTCCAACTTGATAAGAGGACTAAACAAAACATGGCAGTATTCTCCCCATCCCAATCAGAAAAGTACATTGGACAGTGCAACTGACAGAAGGTGCGCTGGGCTCAGATCCTCTCTGATAGCGAGAATACCGAGGAGAATCGGGAAGGAAAGGGCTGCTTTGTCATGGCTTTGCTTGTTGACTCTGGGAGATTTGTGCAAGTGCCTGTTTCATCTCATCACTCACAAGAGCAGGGTGGCCAAGGTCCCCTGGCCAAGCATTCAAATATCACATCCATCACCATCATCGGCACAATGGCGGCAGTGGATCCGCCACTTGGGTGGCATATGCATTAATACTCTCTTTGAACAGGAGTGTATGCCTTATGATGTGCTCTGAAGCCTGTGCGCTGGGGCTTGGTTTTGAAGGGCCTTGCTTGCTTCACATCTCAACCAACACAATTTTGTCAGAGACTAGATGCAGCTCAAGAGTGACTAGAGATGCTGGGTGTGCAAGTAGAGACTCAGATATACAGAGGAAGGGGAAGCTCACACTTCCTGAAAATGTCTCCCTTTTAACTGTTCTCCAGTTCAGCCTCCTGATACCAAGGCTCCCAAAGTGGATGAGCACTTCTGAAAACACAGGCTGCATTGATAAGGCTACAGGCCTTGGTTCCCCACTGCTTCAAGTCCAGTGAAGTCACTTGCACCCCATTCAAAGAGAGCAAGAAGAGTAGAACAAGGATAATATTCAACATCCAGGGGTGCAGGACACAAGCCCAGGACACAGCAAGGAAGACTGGGTCCAATGGGTCCCTAAAGGTGTCTCTGCATTCCCTATCACTCTCTCCTTCAGATAAGCCTGCATCTTAGTTCCCTACCAAAGCAGAGGGATAACTCTATTGAAGACGACTTGATATCTCCCCTTTTCTGGTTGATATGTACCAGGTTTAAAGATTACCTCTGAACAGAACCTAATTTCAAGCAAACCCCTTTGTTTTCATGTACAGAGAAGAAATGATAGTTCCCCACCACAAACCAACACATGCTCTTTTCTTTTTAAAAAGTACTCCATCACTACGAGAGGCATCACAAGTTCCTTCAGCACCTGGAGCTGGAAGTGAGAGGCAAGGCCTTGAATTATGCTGACTACTGAAGAGCGGGTTGTGGGGGAGAGGAGAAGAGAGAGTGGGAGGAGAGCTGTGGTTGAGGGACAGGCAGCATGGGGGACAACCCACTCAGGAGGGTTCAGGGCAAAGCCTCCTCAGGAGGGAGAACATCACTTTACCTCCCTCCCCCCCAAGATCCACCATTGGATATGGGGCCACCTGCCCAGTTCGAATAGCCAGGCAGTGCAGGGCTGTGCCTGCCATGCAAAGATTCAGGGGAGGAAGCCACATCAGTACCCTCTCTTAAGTTGGTGCCCTAAGCTGGTGTCCTGCTCATCCCTTAATAGTGACACTGCTGAGTGCCAACACAGTTGGAGACCAAAAGCAGACATTTATCAGGGAAAGAAGTGTCTCGGAGCACACTGGCAACATGTGGCTTTGGTCAGAACCTCTGGATGTCTCGCCAAGGATGATCCCCACAAGGATTTTCACAAGAGGCTCAATTCCAGCACACTCGCATACTCTGAGCAGTGCCTTACTCTAGGCCTTCTTGTTTCCCCATTTGAAGACAATAAAGCAACTCTGCAGTACCTGATGCTGTTTAACATAGCTCAAGGGATCAGTCTCTAGCCTTTAGCCTGTAAAGCACAGGGCTACCGCAGGTTGTCCAGGGCTACTCAGCTATTGACTGCCTGGTCAACAAGACCTGAAGGTGCAAACAGACTAGGGGATGTCTGCATAAAAGCCTCATGCTGATGCCATTGGAGCCTTAGGAATGGAAGGGCAAGAGATGGCTGCTGCATATGCTGCCCCTTACTGTCTATACCCCTCTCTGCCTCCATACTCTGAAGGCTCCCTCTCCTGGGGGGATGGGTGCCCAAAAGGAGAAGATGGAAACTTGATAAGCCGGAGAAGATGCCCACGGGGAAGGCAACCTAGGGTACTTTCAAGGATTCCTGGCCCCTCTTGCAAGGCTGTTGGGTTCCCACCAGCTAGCATGCTGTTGGCCCCATGCTAGTAAGTAATAATAATAGCAGCAATAATGATTAATGGTGGCTGCTCCATTGCTGGCATAACACCAAGTGCCCTGCAGAGACAGCTAGAAAAAGACACCTCTTATAACCAGATCGATGGTGTTGCACTTAACAGCCAAGCTGCCAAGGAGCTCGGGGAGAGGTTAATCCAGATATGGTCCCTCTGTATGGATAACTGTGGCCTGTGAGGCTTCTCAGAGAAGTAATGGGCTTAGTGGGAGTCAACCCCACTCAGTTAAAAAGAAGAGATGGGGTAGAATCTATTTCCTTTCCCCACTCTACACTGCTTGCCTCTGGAAGAAGGTATAGATGCACAGGAGCCAGGTCAAGGGGCCTGGGAAAAGAGTTAAGACCTTGCACAGCTTCCAGGGGGGTCTTGCTCTGACAGGACTTCAACTTTGTCTCCTGGAGTTCTTAAGGAATAATAAGGCCCTTCCCCTTTAAGCATGGGATAGGGCATTGTGCGAGGATATGGGGGGTCACCATATGTTTTCACATTATGGAATTAGGTCGTGCTATTGCCAGCTTTTCTGCAGAACTTAGAAACTCCAGAAAGTTGAAGTTCCTACTATTCTCTCTTTTCTTTTCTTTTTTTTTAAAGAAGAAATTAAAAAAATGTGCCAAGGAAATTCCACTCCAAAGACACTTGCGCCGAGAAGATCTGACTGACTGAAGGGGAAAGTTATTAAAGATGACTATGGAGATTGCGGAAGATGTGTGTATGAAATCCTCCATCTACCTCCATTGCTCATTTAAACAAAAAGAAAAAGTGATTCATTAGCACAATCTGGCTTTTCCGTGCTGCCCTAGCATTTTGTCTGCCACAATGCAAAGCAGCAAGCAGGCAACAAGTGAATCAGGGGAGCCCTAAATTAGACAAGTTCTCTCCCTGGATGCTCAATTCTCATCTCTGGTGACCTGGTTACAGGTCGCAGTTACATAGAAGGTGAGATGCATTTTCTAGGTCTCATCAGATGCAGTGGGTGGCAGAGCAGTGAAGGCATCTTGCAATAGCTTCACAGGTCTGAAGCTTGCTTTGAGAGTCTACCACAGGCTGATCCCAGTCAATCCAGCTGTAAATGGGAACACAGTCATTCAGTTTGGGGAGACAAAAGCCTCTGGACATGATGCCAGCCATTTCAATCCCCTGTATGCTGTTGACTACAGAAACTGTCCACCTTCGCCGTACTAGCCAAATGGGCCATTTGGTCCAAGTAGACCTTTGACTCTTCTGACTTACTAGATATTTATGCACTATTCACAACAACAACAGGAACAACAAAAAACACCACTGCAAAGTGAGTAAATGGTAATCTTCTCTCAGAACCCAAGCTCAGAACTGGAACAGCAGAAATACTGCAAATCAGGAATAAAGTGCGCCAAGATAGATTTGGAGGCTGTGTGAGGATGGAGACGTCTCGCGACAGCGGTGGGCAAACAGCAGGTCAGGAATCAGATGACTTTGAAGAGCTCCAGCTAAGGACAGAATAGCAGGGGCTGCTAAGGGGCAGGACTTGGAAGAACTATGGGCAACAGGAACCCAGGACTAAACATGAAGGGACATGGGTGGGCTGGATGCACCCAGAGGTTCACTGACAGAGCTGGGGGGTAGACTGGGAGCCCAAGACTGGAACACCATGGGGTACTGATTTCCAGAGTATGGTTGCACTGGCTTAGTTGCGTGGGAACTTCAAACCTGTGTCTACCCTGGCCACAAACCTCCCTCAGCTTACCGTTCAGGTGAGTCAGGGTCAAAGCAGGTCTTCCTGACATCAGTCACCTGGGGGTCACAGCAGTCTCCATCATCAAAGTCATCGAGCATGTTGTTGCACTCCATGTGGCAGATACCATCCCGCCTCTTCCAGGAGAAGCAACGCCCTTGCAGGCGACAGTCACCCCCATCATAACCAGTCAGAGGGTGCTCGCACTCAGGGTCACAGTGGTCATTGCCGATCTTGCTGGGCTCACAGTTGACTAGGACCGTGCGGTGGCGCAACGAGGAGTTGTAGACCTCATGGAGAGTCAGCTGCCAGGTGATGTTGTAACGACTGAAGGCTTCACTCAGGGCCTGGTGCTGACGTGAGATCTGCTCCCGGCTGACGGTAGGTTGGAGCCCGTGGTCATCGTGGATGTTGACCACGCGGTAGCGGACCACCTTCTCACTGCGCAGTGGCCAATGCCTGTTGTAGTAGGAGATCAACTCCACATTGTCACAGACCGTTTGCCCACATTCAGGGGGTGCTAGTGGAAAGAGAACATCAGGTTCCGGCATTGGGAGGTTCTCAAGCAGAGGGTAACCCCCATCTTTGAATGTTGCCCACTGCTCCTCCAGGCGGGCAAAGCTAGTGCTGAGCACCAAGGCAGCATCCCCACCCTCAGTCACCTGTAAGAAGCCACGCTGCAGCCTGTCCTGGGGCAGGGCTATGTTCCAGAGAGCCAGGGACATGAGGTGTCCACGGAAGTTGTGCCCATCCTCAGAAGTGTCCCCACCGAGAATCAAGGTGCGGCAGGAGGCCATGAAGGCACTGTGCAAGGCACCTGCTTGCTGGTCATTTCTGCCCACCCGCACCCCATCCAGGTACAGAGTCATCCACTGCCCATCGTAGGTAGCAGCCACGTGGGTCCAGGTGTTGGGTCGATATCGGTGGTACCCAGAAACTACAGTGACTCTCTTCATTCGGTCTGTCCTGAGAGAGAAAAAGAAGCGGGCATCTTTCTTCCCTAGGTGCTGCCACAAGTGAATTCCCAGGGCCCAGCCCTTGTTGCTGACTGAATGGGAGCAATTGTCAAACACACCTGTAGGATGGTAGGAGAGAGGAGACCTTGTAAGATAAAACACACCGAAGTGAGGAATGCCAGGATACATAACACAAAGGCAGCTGGGGGAAGATAGTGGACTTAGCCCCACTCCCCCTCCACTGGAAGCAGGATCTCAGACAGATTTGCTCTGTTGGGTTAGAAGGGAGGAGAAGCTGGTAGAGCACAGCCACCCCCTTACCCCTGTCCCATAATGGAGTAGGAACCCCGGAGAGCAGTTGTGGTAGAGGAGCTCCGGGGGGATGCAGGAGGCAGGGTATAGAGATGACATTGCCACCACAGTCCATGGGGGTGGGCTTCTCTCTGCTCACAGAAAGCAAGGGGAACACTAGGAGGATGAGTGAAATTAAATCAATGGCATCTCCTCTTATATCCTCATTTTACTGCTAAGCAAAATAACGCTCTGACACTGCTACATGATCAAGGGGACTTCATGCACTGGTGCCTATCATGATGCTGTAGCCTTTCCATGATGTTGCTCATTGCTCTCCAGAGATTTCCCTCCACCCCATCTCAATCCAGCTTTTAAACACAGCTGGCCTCTCCTTTCCAATGCCAGTCCTGCTTTCCCTTCTTGCCCCAGCATCTTCAGGCACTAGGGCATGACCCAGGTTCTTGGCAAGTGTTGGCAAGAGCTGAACATTACATTCTCTTGGAAGATAACTAAATGGCTCTTGGCACTACCACAAGGAAGCTTCCACATCTGGCACAACATCTGGTGTTGTCACAGAACTGTTGCCTGGAATCTCACACTGCCAGTGCCATAGTTCTTACTGGCAGAGACTACTGCTCTGAGCCTCACACTGCTCCAGATGGAGCTGTGACTCGCAAGGCACTTCCTTGGTAAAGCTGCCCAGCTGGAACTCAAGCTGGCAGGCAGAAGGCACCAGTCTAAGAAAGCTTTGAATTACCTTGAGATTCACTGTAAGATATGCCAAGGGAACCCCATGCAACTTGGTCTGCTGGGGAACTTTCCACTGATGGAGTCCTTGGGCATTATCAGGCCACTGCTGTGAGCTAGCCAACCCACAAAGCCCCACTGCCTTTCAGGGGAACGAAGAGCTATTTAAAGTGGCAGCATGGGCCAGGAAAGCAACACCAGAAGCAATAACTCAAAACACATGTCATCTGTTTTTATGTTTTGGGGAGGGGAAAGGAGGGGAAGTTTTGGCCAGGTTAAACACACAAGCGTAAATTAACCTGATCCAAGTCCAGACAATGAACCTCTGGGTGTTCTGCCTGGGGCCACTGCCATCTGCAGAAGCAATTAGCATGGCCTTCCCCAAGCAGGTGGAGGAACAGAGAGAGAAGCAAGGAAATGGACAGAATAACGGAGCAAGGGAAAAGTAAATGAAAGGGGGGAAAACAAATGGAAGGTGTGAGAGGAGAGGGAGAAAATCTGAGGCGAATGGAGGTGGTCTTGAGGCAGTCTCTGTATAGCATTCCTCTGGGATGGGATTAGACGCTAAGCTTTTTATCTGTGGGCCAAAGCTTTTAAGAATCAGAATGCAGCAGCCCAAAGCAAAAGAGACTCCTCCGGGAATCATTTCCCCAACAGCGTCCAGGCAGATTTATGGCTTTCCTTTATGCTCCAGTTTTCTTTTCAGTCATGCATTCAGCACAGACAGGCGAGGGTCAGAAAGAGAGCAAAAAATGGAGGGACTCAGTCACTTCTTGCAAGAGCAGGTGTAACGCGAGCTACCCACACTCTACAGCCATACAGTCTGCAGGTCTCCCTGCTTTCTCCCAGGTGTAACTTAATAGGAGGTGGTTTTCACCATGGATGGATTTGGCCTCAGGTTCCTTTGCACCTGCTGTGCATATTGAATAAAATTATGGAAAAAATGCCTTTCAGTGAAGCTCACAGGCATGATTCCTAAATGTCAATGTCACATTAGAAATCAGACTTCAGCTCCTAAGGCACTTAGGGTACAGACTCATATGAATACAGGGCTTAAACCTGGAGCCATGCACATTAAAACATGAGGAATGAGCAGGTGTTTATAGGCAGGCATCTTGAAAGTGTGACAAATATAGCTCTGATTCATCCAGGGGTAAATCTGTCACTGTTGGGCTGGGCATCAGTCATTATAAGGGACTGAATCATATGTTTGCAGCTATTTTAAATCAGGACAGCTTGACATGCTGTGGGTCATCCTGCTCAGGAGCCTGAAACTTTATAGTGCTGCCAATTGCTACAGTATTGAGCACTAAACTAATTAGAGCTATTCTGAAATGTCCTGGGTTTATTTGGAAGCCAGAGCGTCCACCTTGCCTTCTGCAACAATTTAGCTAAACAACTTGATGATTACACCTTCTGTTAAAGGAGGGACACTTTTGCTTGTAAACAAATTTGGCATATTTTTTTTTACAAGTAATTGGTGATTCAGAGTTTGCTGACATTTGGGAGCCTGATGTGAGTCCCTTTGAAGGTACCCAATTTTCAGAGAGGAGGTGCTCAGCACTTCAAAGTGTCTCTGTCCAAGCACCCAAATTGCTAAGTACTTTTTAAAAATCTTGGGAATTCTTGGCCTAAGAATGTCCCCCCCCCTTCAGCTCAAGATGACAAAATGGAATTCAAACCATCTTGAAAATCCAGTATACAGGCTGAGATGGGGATCTTCTGAACCATGCCTTGGGAGCCCGCCTTGAAGAGAGACTTCATGATAAACTCTTAAACAACAACACCTCCTTCCCTGCAGCTCCCAGCCCCTTGCCCTCTCACTCACCACCAAAATAAATCTCTTCCAGATGTGAAAGCTCCCCCAAGTAGACAGAGCCAGACAGCAGGCACTGCAGTGTTATACACATGCATAGCACACATAGCTTTTTCTTTTGCTTGAGGAACTCCAAAGAGATCCTAAACCTCAGACCCCATCTAAGCCCCCAGCTTGGCCTGGCTTCCTCATCTCATTCTCTATTATGGGATCTCTGCCTGTTTTTGAGGCCTTGTCTACATGCAGATGTTGTATTGAATTAACTTACATAGATTAAACAGATGTGCAACAGGGTAACCCCCAGCGTGGACAAAACAAAACTGATGCAAACCAGGTTTGCACCTGTAATTTACGTTTAATTTGCTGGGATTAGAAGGTGCAAACTAAACCAATACACACTAAATTTAAGAGCACCTCCACTGGCATGCCTAAATTGGCTTGTAGACTAGAACTGAGACTTGAAATATAATTTGTGTAAGCTTCTCCACACACAGTTTCACCAACACCCCTCCAGGCCTGCCTTTCTGTCTATTGCATATACACTCTGCTCATCACCATGGTATCTAAGCAGCTGGTGCATGAATTAAACAGCACCCCCTGCCATCCCAATCCTGGCTTTATTCCCTGTTGCATATCCAGAGTGTCCACCACTGTGATCTCTAGGCACTATGCACACAAATTCAGCAGCAGTATTATCTGGAAAGCTCATAGTTTCCATTCCTCCACTGGCGTCATTGCTTTCTTCTGGCACATTTGTTTCCCGGGAAAATTGTAGCTGCCCGTTCTATGGTCATCACTATTTCAAGGAGGCCTGGGCAGAGATGAGCGGAAGCAGGAGTAGCAGCTACTCATCATGAGCCTTTGGAATCTGTCCAAGGGAAATGTGCAGAAACAGGTTAATGTGACCCTACTCATTCCTGCCAGGTCTCATAAACAAACCAGCCTCCTGGCCATCTATGCCAGACACTGCTAATATTTTGTAACAAGTTAAGTTAAACTTCATTGAAACTGGGGTGGTTGCCACCATCCTTTTCTCATATGCTTACAGTAAGAAGTCATTAAGCTCCTTTATGTAACCAGGCATCTTTAACAAGAGGCAGCTCCATCCCCAACACAGGCACATGCCACTGCTCTAAACAAAGGGTGGAGGGGAAAGAGTATGTCTGTGAAAGAGAGACAGAAAGAGCAGAAAAGTCAAGACGGGAAGCAGCAAGGAAGTACCTGACAGGCCCAGAAACATCATGAAAGGTATACTTGAAATGAAGTTGAGAAAGATTCTGGGCTGAGTGCTGGATAAAATGAGGTTTGGAGCCACAGGCAAAGAAAGTTCTCCTGTTATTTGATTCCTGTTCTGTTCAGGGAAATGGGACTTTGCATACAAGCCTGATGGCGTCAGAGATGCAGCCACCAAACGTCCTGGCGTGGCCAGGGCAAGGCCAGCTCAACCAATACCATGCTGGCATTCTGATGGAATTTTAAAAACTGGGATTTTGTCTCAGTTTAGAAATTTTGGTCCCAGGAAAACATGTCATCACCTCAGTATGATGCCAGGCAGTGCTGTAGTGAAAGGAGCAGCAGCATCTCTGGATATGCCATCTCTTAAATTAGGGGATGAGTGGCAAAGCTTATCAGCAAATGCATAATGCTGCAATAAGCCAGCAATACTAAGGGAGCCAAACCACATCCAGATCAGGTGGGCTCCTGAACAAGGAGTAGCAAATCCATCTTAGTGCAGCACTGGTGTGATACTGTTCCAACTCAGGCTGACATTGTTTTAGTAGCTTTAACCAAATTATGCCTGTCTCTGTGATTAATTTTTCCTCACAAATTGTCACGGGGCCAAAAATGTTACTAATCACTCAGATTTGAAAAAGGGGTTGGGGAGCAGGCAAGGGAACAATACTGATATCATGTCTGGGATGTGACTGTCAAAGAGAGACACTGCAAGCTGGCATTCCTGTTGACCCAAGCTGGACAAATGAGGGAGGAGCTCACAGCCAACAGAATATTAAATATGCTCTATAACAAGAGCTAGAGCCTTTACAGAAGGATTTTAGGTGTCATTTGAAAGGTTTCCTAAACAGGTTGAAATGAGGACTTGCAGGTGGAGATGAAATCCATGTTGGAAGAGAGTGTCCAGAGAGACTGGAAAACCCAGCCACAACATTCCCAGTTCGGGACAGTAAGTCATACAAACCTGGTAACCAGAAACCTGATTGCCAGGGACCAGAAAGTTTTCCATGAAACAGGGAAGACTAGGAA